ATTCATTGTTACTATTATTATTTATTGTTGAATAAGAGGTCATGGCTATGGTGGACCTCATGTTGTGCTGGCAGTAAGAGAGGGATTCAGACATTGGTTCTGGTTCAGTCATTCATTGCTACTACTATTATTTATTGCTGAATAAGATTGGGGGAGATGACGAGGAGATTGGTTGGCAAAAGAAGGGGGGATTTGTCATTGGACTTTTGCTGGTGTGCATATTCTTCTTCGTCTTTCTTTCTTCTTTCTTCTTCCTTTCAAGTTCTTTCATGTCTTTTGCAATTGGACGGCATAGTCTTTGCACTTCTGAATTGGCCAGGATGATAACATATCGACCAAGTCAAAGACGGCCATTTCTGGAACACTTGCCTGCTCTAGTTGCAGAAATCCATCCAATCACGGATCGTGTACACCATCCAGCCCTCCTTGAGAGTTGAATGAGCTGACAAATGAGATAGAACAAAAACTGAACATAACAGATGCCGCTCACGAACGTTCATCGAATGAAAGGCAATGACAGAATATTACCTGATAGTAGATGGCTTTGACAGGAAACAGAGCTTTCAGAACCCGTCTTGCAGAAGCTTGCAGCACTGGCTGACGATCATTCTCAAGCACTGGCTCCAGGACAACTAAACAGTCTACTCTCGCTTCAGAAACTGTGGAAGCTCTGGTAGCCCATAGCTCTGCAAAGTTCACCTTGATGCTTGGCCGCTGGTTCAGGTTCTGTCCAGAACTCACAACAGCTGAGTAGTACAAGAAAAGCACCTGAAAACAGGCACAGACTGCTTTCTCCAGAGGCGAGGCAGCGGCTGCAAGCGTGCAATTCTTTGTAACTGCTGAACCAGCTTTCCCTGTTGCACCTCCACATCCTCCACTACCTGCCCCATTCGTTCCCCCAGCAACAAGGCCCAACAAGTCAACTTCATGAAGCGCCTCCAGTTTCTCTTTCCACCCGAACTTGTCTTTTGGTCGTGCATACACATCGACAGAGTCCAGCCGTGGCAAGGTCGATCCACTGAAAGTTGGACCCACTGTCAGGGTAAAATCCTTGTCGGCTAGGATTGCCTCTGCATTTGTAAATGGAATGTCATACCATCGCCGAACACCTTCTTCAAGCTTTATGGTTCTCTGGAACACACGCACCTCACTTGGAATGTGGCTTGGTGATGAGTTTCCCACCTGAATGCGGCATCCCACCATCACCAGATTCGAGTTCGAATTGAGCACCATTATCTGCCAAGAATATCACCATGAACCCACACAGACACACATGCACACAGGCACATGCACACACACACACACACACAAACCCGCATGCTCAGCACATGGCTGCCTCAGGTTTTCCTGCCCTTAACCACACAAAACATCCATAGCCTGCCAAACAACCCAACCTAACCCAGCCTTCGCGTGGCACATCATGTACACTACCACATCTCCAGCTCCACTTGGGCATCCCATAGGCTCAGGACTACAGCTTACATAGGTATCCAAGGCCTCGTCACCACAAGCTCTGAGGCGAAGTAAATCAGACCAACCCAACTTTGCACAGAAGCCGATGTGCACTCTGATACTTCCAAGCATAGCCTGTCCCATTGGCAGGCGCACCTCAAAGACCAACAAGAAACACCGGCCCTTCTTCACACCATGGGCGTCAGGTTGGTATGTACCTCAACTCTGCACCGCTGCATCTCCATCCAAAATATTAGACATAAGGAGATGACCTCTTGCACCTCCGCTGACAAACAAGGGTCTGATGTGTGATGGGAATGAGAGGGAAAGCCATGGCAAAAGCCTGGAGAGGCAGAGCCAACAGTTTWCCCCCCCCCCCACCCCTCTCTCTGTCTCTCTCACTCTGTTTCACATGCACACAGACACACACACTCACACACACACACTTCTGTTTTTGGACCCTCTCAAACATTTCAGCTCCCTTTCTTTGACTATAATCTAAAAACCAAGAAAAACATCCTGGCTCCTCATTCACAGACAGTGTTAAACGGTTTCTTTCAACTCCAGACTGCAAACTTTGCACTTTGCCGCCTCTATTGAACTCCTTTCCTCCTTTGTCCTCTGGTTTACCCAGTCCACCTCAATAAGAATGCACTTTGCATCGGTGAGTTGGTTGGTGCGCAGCCATACGTCATGTGAACCCGCCTAGTTTGTTTTTCCACCAAGTCTGAATGAGACTCTGCCCACGACCACCACTGACAGAGAAAGAGAGTGCACTTCGCCATGTCCGTTTACACACAGCCAATACTCTGCTATGTGCTGCCCAGTAGGAAAATACCCTCACCGCACAAGTCCACCTGTTTTCCTTTGTGGGGAAATCTGGGCCGTGCCAAGCAGAGCCCCGGCTGTGCAAAATGTGTCAAGTGCACTCTCTCTCAACACTAGGTCTCGCTCCGCTGCACAAATTTCTGAATGTATCTGGACCCGCTACTGGTCCAAGGGATCAGTCAGACATGTATATGGTTCACAGAACAGTCCAGGTACGTGTCGAATGTTGAGTAGTGGGGCAAGGCACACTGTCCAGAGAGGAAAATGCTGACAATGCTGCCCGGAAACTGAAGCAAAGTATGGGCAGCATTTTCCTTTCTGATTGACGCATGAGATCCACCTTAGATTTGTTTTGTTTCTATTTATCGGGAACCTCTTTCACAGAGCTCTAATTCCCTTTTTCTGGCCGTTTGAATTTGGCCAATCCCGGTGCACACCCTTCATGATTTCAAGGACTCGCCCCGCCTTTCCATCCACTTTTAATTTTTTAACCGTTTAATATCTGGACTGTGGTAGGATAACACGGGGCTGTTCTAGTGCAGGGAGATATTTTTAGCTGGTTCACGAGTATGGAAGGCAGCGAGGAGGAGGAAACGGTTGACTCTCAGAGGGTCACACGTTTGACTGCCCGTAGGTGTCCCATAGTCCATCTGCAGTTAGAGGCAGCGTACGAAAGGAGGCTTAGAGCAAAGGTTGACAATAGAGGTGAGTGGATCAGGGGACAACATGCAGCCAATAGGCAGGTTAGGCCGCCACAAACCATGACCACCCAAGCTGGTGAAAATGGTACACAGACACAACAACGGACTTAAAAGGACAGAAACAGACAGATCCAGGCTAGAGGACATGGTCAAGAGGAACCATCAGGACAGCACATATAGTCCAGGGCCTCAGACACTCCAGGAGGTAGGAAACCTCAAAATTTGGGGACTATTAGCGAAACTATCATGGACCAACAGACGCTGCTTGCTCCAGACAAAAACGTAAATCTGACAGCAATATAGCTGAGAGGAGTAATTAGTGGCAGAAGCCGCAGACAAGCTCTATAATGCACCACAAACACCCACCAAGGAGTAGCTATAAAAGGCTAACTTAGACAGGGGTGAGGGTAGGTACATCCTTCTGGAAGTAATCAATGTCGTCCACTCGGGCCTCTCAACCGTAATGGGGAGGAGCGTGCATGAGTCATCACTGTACTATTTATCAACTTGTCGGGAGAATATCAGAAAGGAAAATCTTCTTAAGAAACATTAAAGACCTGATCCCGCCTCTGACCCCTTGCATCCTGGCAGGAGACTGGAATGCCACGATAGACCCTGCACTAGACCGTATATCCAGGTCGCCCGGCACCCCAAATTCTTCTGAAGCTATACCAATCCAGRAATTGATGTTGGATCACAACTTGGTAGACCCTCAGAGAATCCTTCACCCAAACAAGAGAACCTTCACCTTAATTAAGAAAAATCACGCTAATCACACGRCCTTTYCGCGAATAGACTACTTTCTAGTATCAGAAATCATGATGGGGGCAATCAAGAATGCTGAAGTATKATCCTTGGCCCCATATCCAGGACTGGACCACAAACCAATTGAACTGGTTGTCTGTTTTGACCAAGTGGTCAAAAAGGGAGCCAGCTTCCATAAGCTCAACAACTCCCTCCTACTGAGCCAGACCTTCCAAAGTGAGGTTTGCAACTGTTGGGAGGGTCAGAGATCCGCGCGCCTAAGCACTGACCATCGATGGGAATGGTTTCAAAAGAGCTATTCCAACCTTTCAAGCACAGTGGCCAAAGTCTCTAGGAGACTAGCGTCTATAAGGAAGCAGAGAAAGCAAGCACTAGAATTCGCGTTGACTCTCTCTCTCTCTCTCTGTGTGTCCCATCTCAACTGGGAGCAATAGGTGCGACCTGGGGGCAGTGTGCACGAATGTTCCGGGCGATCGATGGGGTCGATCTCCTCAGACCTGCATCGAGTTATCAGATCCACGTTCTAACCAACCGTCTATTCCTCTCATCCACAAGTTGGTTAAGCAGCTAGGACTCAAAAGAATGGATGAATGGAAGCCCTCGATTAGTTAAGTCCAAGCTCTAACTAACCGTGCGCTAACCAGTCCACTCTCCAACTAACCGTCCACTAACCAGTTACAGTTACAACCAATCGTGTACAGACCAGTACAGCTTCTAACCAACCGTCTACTACCCACTCCAAAGTCTAACTAACAGTGTACTAACTAACTCGTGAACGATCACACAGTTCGTTAGCCCACGTTCAGGTTCTAACTAAACGTGTACTCAACTACCAAGGTACTAGAATAGAAGCCTCGTTATCGGGTCGAATCCACACAACTACGATCTCCAAGGGAGGAGGAGGGGAGCAGCATATGCATCCAGTCGTTGAGTCTGCAAGGAGAGTACATACCAGAGTAGCATCTTCACCGACTGCACACGAGAGTCTGCAAAGAGTACACACTAGAACCTACAAGGATCAGGATACACTGGAGTCCGCAAGGAGGAGGAACAAACCCTGACAGCAGAATCTGCAAGGAGTCCAACTCACTAAAGTCTGCAAGAACTATACACTCGATCTGCACGATGCAGTAAACACACTAGTCTGCAAGAGGCAGTACCCATTAAAAGTAGTGGTATTTCACTTGCACCGTAGAGCTCCCACTGATGCTATACCTCTCCGGTCATTCCACAGAGTCGATCTAGAGTCAAGCTCAACAGCGTCTTYTTCTTTCCCTGCCGATTCTTCCAAGCCCGTTCCCTTCGCTGTGGTTTAGCAGYATTGGGTTCGGGAGAAGAAGGGAGTTAAGCCACCAGAACTTGGCCCAGCTAAGGGGCGCAGAAAAACAATTGAGTAGAAACGTTTGTACTCAGATGAAATYGGGCACTCCTGTACTGGCCCGCACGTTTCCAAAAATTGYTGCTGGCTAACGGGCACAACTTAAGGACGTACTTATGGTTTAAACGGACTTATCCAGCAGGCGTAGTTTCATAAGGTGACAATGACAGCAGAACAGTGTGCTCGTAATCTTTTGCTCCACTGTGGCTGTGCTCTATGCAGGCGATTCACATCGATTCCTGAAAAAAAGAACTGAAGGGGCCAAAGAAGTACATAGATGACACAGACAGAGAGGGAGGGGAGAAGAAAGAGAGAGAGAGAGAGAGAGAGAGAGAGGGAGAGAGAGATTTTCATTTTCTTGGAAAGCCAGAGGATTCCCCATGCAGGTACTTCATAGCGATTCCTGAAAAAAGAGGCAAAAGAAAAATACAGAAAACACAGAGGGAGAGAGGGGGGAGAGAGAGGCAGTGGAGGGGGGGGGGGAGAGAAAGAGCCTTACCTCTTCATTTTCTTGAAAATTGAGAGAAAAAGGAAAGGTGCCGCATCACTTTCTGTGCATGTTCATCGGACGTCGATAACTCTCGTTCCAAGTTCAAGTTTCAAATCAAGGATGAGGTAAAATGGAAGAAGCATCAATCCGCTGGCTCAAATCAAAGACGAGCCTAGCTCAGCTGGTACGCCCACGAACTGTTGAAATACGGACTCAAGAAGCTCGACTCTAGATCAAATCCGATGCCCAGAACAACATAATTCTGAATTACCTGGGGCCGGTCAGCTTCAATGATGATACCTCAAGGCCGCCTCCCCTTGACAAAACACTTCTTTGCCCGAATCAAAGCAAACTCGAGAGTTACCACTATTGAAGGTCTGAGATCCCACACAACCCCAGAAATGGTGAGTTCAGATAGCGAAGGCATAATAGAGATAGCTAACAATTTCTATAAAGACCTCTACCTCTCCAAAAAGACCTCTACCTCTCAAAGACTGAGACTTCGATTCCCTCCAACATTAGCGAGGCAAGACATAAAATGCTTCGCTACTTAGAACAAACAATACCAGCGGATCAGGCCGAAGCTCTTGACAAACCAACCACTTTGGAAGAACTACTCCTG